CCTCCTCTTCCTCCTTCTCTCTTCCTCTTCTTTCTTCTCTTCTTCTTCCTCCTCCTCTTTCTCCTCCTCTTCCTCCTCCCCTGCCCTTCCTCCCCTTCCTCCTCCTCTTCCTCCTTCTCTCTTCTTCCTCTTTCTTCTCTTCTTCCTCCTCCACTTCTTCCTCCTCCTCCACCTCTTCTCTTCCTCTTCCTCCTCTTCCTCCTCCTCCACCTCTTCCTCTTTCTCCTTCCCTCCCCCTCCTCTTCCTCCTCCCCCTCCTCCTCCTCCGCTTCCCCTCCTACCCCCTCCTCTTCCTCCTCCTCCTCCACCTCTTCCTTCTCCTCCTCCTTCTCCTCCTTCTCCTCGTCTTCTTCCTCCTTCTCCTCCTCTTCCTCCTCCTCTTTCTCTTCCCCCTCCTCTTTCCCCTCCTCTTCCTCCCCCTCCTCTTTGTCCTCCTCCTCCTCTCTAAGCCCCGTCTGCATGATCTTGTCTCTGCTATTCTTGAACCAGTCACATTGCCTGGAACTTGTATTCTCTCATCTAATTTTCCTGAGAACTCCGTCTCACGTTACTATCTCCAGATGTTCCACACAAGCTCAGCGTGGTGAATCTGTCCAAGATCCCCCACCCACTAGGACAGCAGCAGTAGGATCCTGATTCCCAGACCATTGCCCACGACATGCGAAAGACCTGTCTCCATCACTAGTCAGTCCTGTGGCTATTTGCCCCAGAACACGCTAACTAATCCTTAAGATTTATTATGCACAAATGACCACCAGTGGACAGTAACTGCCTTCTCTCTAAAAATAAGTAAGCAATAGACTTTCCTCTTTAGAGTTTTTGTTTTACAGAAACCTGGGCTGAAAGGACAGAGTTCCTGTAGCCTGTTCCCCACCCCTAGCTTCTCCTCTCGCTGACATCTGTGTTCAAATCCATGGACCAATATCCACCCAAAGATCAGCCATCAACACATCAAGGTCCCGCGTTGTGTAGTTCAGTGGATTTTGACACACTGTAAATGCCGGCACCTCCCTCACGGTACCCTAGAGAAAGGGCTCCCTGCACCAGGAGTACGCTGTCCCCATCCACAACACCCAGTCCCTGGCAACCTCCAGCAGTCACACTTTTTCAGAAATGTGCTGTGGTTAGAATCTGTGTCATCTGCAGAGTTGGGCGGTTGGAGACTGGGGGAGAGGTGGTGCTGTGGTTCAAGCTGTAGGCGTTTGGCTGGTGGAATCCCTTCTTCTCCAGGGGACATGCTCGCCCCACTTCAGGCCCTCACCTGA